CGTTGCTCCTGGCCTTGCCTGGGGCTCCTGGCGGCTCTCTTGGCTCCCCCGAGGTTCCCCCCAGTTCGGTTCCCCTCTGTGCACCGCACGAGAGAGCTCTGCTGCCCATGCTGCTGGCACCAGAGCTGCTCGCCTCAGCGACTGAGTCCTTTCTCTCTAGCTGTGCCATGTGTTCTTTAAGAGGAAAATGCTATTAGGGAACTACTGATTTGACAGGCATTGAACTGTACCTTTAACTGCCTTCTGCCAACAGGCATTGTCCTAATTCTCTAGTACCTGAGCTGAAGCAAGGAGTAGGGGTTTCTTGGTTACTATTAACTAAAGCTAGACAGTTCCCTGGCAAAATATGTGTGTGTGGGTACTTTTAGTGGGAGTAAGGTGCTGTTCTGGACCATCTTACTCTTCCCATGTACAAAACAGGGAGTCAAGGTACCTCATTCAGGGTCTGGGAGTCAGGTGTTTGCTACAGTACTTAACTTGTAGGCACCTAAAGGTAGGTCCTGGGGTTTAAAAGCTCTGGCTGGATTCTGTACAATGCTGAATACAGTAAGGTTAATTACTGTTATCTGCAAGAGGAGCACGGGACTGTCAGCAGCTTTCAGTCCTGACTGCTCTGAATTGTGCAAAGATTTGTTACTGCCGCCTGGTGACTGGAGCTGTGGCAATGAAAAAGGAAATAGCCAGTAGGTATATAAAGAGAGAAAAACCAAACAAACAGAAAACCCCTCCAGAATATTCATAGTTACATTGTAGTGGCAGAATTGTAGCCTTATACATAATAGGCAATGAACATATGTGGTTAGTATTATAGCAGTCCCCTCCTCCACAGATTTGCAATGAAGTGTTGCAATTACGGGTCTAATAGCATTATTAAAAAGTTGAAAGTAACTAAGTAGATCTTTTTAAAAAGATAATGAGGTAGTGACATAAACTGAGGAAAAATATCTTTTAAAGGTATAGTTTAAAAAAAACAACAACCCTTCCACCCCCCAAAAAAACCACCAAAAACTTCAACTGGAAGAAATCCAACAAGACAGTGGTTATAGTTATTTAGCTTTGGTTTTACAAGCCTAACATCATGTTAAATTTGTACTCTAGACCAAATTCTAGTTTGGTCACTGATTTTGAACATGATGTGGTCATCTATAGGTACCACACCAATAAAACAATGATGATAGTAACAATAGATGTCTTGGCCTTGATACCTAATATTTTATTCCATTTAGGTTGTTCCAGACTATTACAAGCAGATCCTTAATTGATTCTTCTATGTCTCTGACAACTAGTACTAGCCTGTGGGTCCATCGTTACTCTTTTCCAAGGATGGGTTCTTTTAGATGGATCTTAGTCTTTTATTTGTAAGGATTCCTTCTGTTTTGGGTAATAACATATCTTGAAGAGACTAATTTCTAGTGCAAGTGGAATTTTGAAACCCAAGTTTCAGGTTCACCAGACTGCATGAGAAAATAAATATTTGGAATAAATTTACATCCCTTGTACACTAGACTTTGCACTTAAAATAGTTTCATCATTTTTACTTAATGATGCACAATGGTATCTTAGCAGATGGGCTTCTGTGGTTTTGTGGGTCAAGTATTTTGCAAATAGTAAAATGTGGCTTAAAGATGAGACATAATCAAATGACTATGGAATGCAAGATCCTTTCCCAGGCACAGGGCCAGAATTGCTTGGTAATATATGCAAACACAGTTCTACTGAAGTATGTGGAGTTACACTTGCTTATGTTAGAGGAATTTGGCACTGCAAATCCAATACTGTGAAAACTCTGTAATATTAATCATTAATTCTAAAATCAGGATCTGAATTTCTTGGATGTCTTACCAAGCTCAATAGAAAGTCTATCAAAAGGTCAGGAAAAATAACCCATGTTTTAATACTTCTTTATGTAAAAGCTACATTTTGCCATTCTGAGAAAAGAAAATGCATTTCTTGATATTGGATGAATATAAATGGCAAAATTTTCTTTGCATAGTCAATACATTTTCAAAAATATATGTTGTAAGAATGAGGCTTGTG